ACACGTTTGTTTTTAAATTGTACAGGGTGGGAGGAAAGGTTTATCCGTGGCTATAATAAACAGACTCTACATTTTCGAGTCGATAAGGAATTTGCCGCAAGATTGATCTTGATCTTGAATTTCAAGGTCAAAACTCTTTTTCTTTTTTTTCTTTTTTTTTGCATTTTATTCTACTCGTTACAAAGGGTACAAAGTTCTCTTGAAAAGAAGAAAAAGTCTCTTAATCATTTAACACTGCGGACGCATGCGTCCTAACAGCGACTTTATAGTTCCGGATTAGGTTTTACTAACATTTGATTCATCATAGTTGTAGCATCAGTGTGAATCTAAATAATCAAATGATAAAACCGTTAACATTATTCAAAATATAAATATTACATCTACGCGATCAGAATCATAAAGTCGCTGTTAGAATTTCAAAGTCAAAAATTTTTTCCCTTTTTGGCATTGTATTCTACTCATCATGAAGATAAAACTTTTCCAAGGAACCATAAGTTGCAACCTAGTTCTCTTGAAACATGGCAGAAAAGTTTCTTAATCATTTAACGCTGCAGACAAGTGCGTGCTAACAGCGACTTTATAGTTCTGGATTAGGTTTCACTAATATTTATCATAGTTGTGGCAATCTAAATAATCAAAACTAACTGTTAACATTATTCAAAATATAAATGTTACACCCACGCGATCAGAATCATAAAGTCGCTGTTAGAATTTCAAAGTCAAAAATTTTTTTCCTTTTTGGCATTGTACTCATCACGAAGATAAAACTTTTCCAAGGAACCATAAGTTGCAACCTGACAGTTCTCTTGGCAGAAAAGTTTCTTAATCATTTAATACTGCAGACAAGTGCGTGCTAACAGCGACTTTATGGTTCTGGATTAGGTTTCACTAATATTTGATTTATCATAGTTGTGGCAATCTAAATAATCAAAACTAACTGTTAACATTATTCAAAATATAAATATTACATCCACGCGATCAGAATTATAAAGTCGCTGTTAGGACGCACGCGCCCGCAACTATTAGGTTCCTTGGAGAAGTTTTATCTTCATGAATAGAATATAATGCAAAGAGAAAAAATTTTTTTTTACCTTGGAATTCAAGACAGGTTCTTTATATGTATTTTTATCAAATCGAAAGTATAGAATTCATCTGTACTGTCAAGGGCTTAATCTACAAAATCTGCTGAACCTATCAAAGGGATCATTTAAAAAGACGATTGAACGATTGTTAAAATTACAGAATGATGGAAATTTTAGCTTGATTAAAAGTTCTATAAACTGATGAAGAAAGTTCTCTAGGCTTTAATCTTGAGCTCCGTTGTGAATTTAGTCGTGAAAAGGATGTTTCAATGTTTCCACATACTGTGACAATTTATAGCATTTTTCAAGAAAAAAAGTGTCCTCACATTGCCATCTGCTGCGTAGGATAAAAGTATTTTAACACTAGAACTACCGAGAATTAAAGTATAAAAATTGAGTCGAAGAAATCAGAATGCAAGGAATAGGAACTTTTATTCGTACATCTTACAAAAATCGAATTTCTAAAAAAACATTGTAAGTCCGCAAAATTACTCTAAAGAATTATAAACTGGTCACACTTTGATCACTTTAGTAGTTTAAAATAAAGTGAACGAAGAATTTTGAGAGTAGGGGTTTCGAGCTTTAAAACTGAGCCCAAGATTATTACTTTATGCAACAAAATATTTAGTGTATTTAGAGTGTTCAAATGTCCAAATATTAGTGGGAATCACTGTATGTGCAGTATACAAAACAGTTTGCAACAGAGAGACGAAGCGAAGTCTCAATGATCATTAGAATCTTCTGCCGACCAGAACCCTGATTTCTAAATCGTTCTGGAGCGAGGAACTGAACGAAGTGCGAATGAGAAAGCATCGTAAAATAAAAGGGAAGAATTTCGGGCGTCGATCGAAAGCAATCTGGCCAGCGTGTATGTAGCTTGCGTCATGCAAAGATATAGATGTAGCCGAACGGTCGGTGGTTTGGGAACAGAGAAAGAGAGAGAGAGAGAGAGAGAGAGAGAGAGAGAGAGAGAGAGATTGTGGTTGGAGGACGCGGTGGTTGATGTCGATTTCGTATATGTAAGAGGGGCGTTCGCGGATTGTTCGCTGCGATTGAAATCACGCGAAGCTTTACTTAACGGCGAACTTGCAGATTTCGAGAGCACGGATATATTCACGGAGCGAAGGCGCGGTGGCACCCTTATCGAGAGCCAGGCCCGCCCCTTAATGGCGCTCGAGATGTTCCTCCTCGTGAGGAACGAGACCGAGGGGTTGGAGTCTCTAATCGAAATTCTCCACCGGCCATTCAGACGTATAATGATTTCCCTCGTACTGTACGGAGCGTTGTCGCGTCGTTGGAACTAGCAATAAAAAGGGACAGAAAGAGAAAGAAAGCGTGGGACGCGAATGGGAGCAGGGACAAGTCCTTGACAAAAGGCGGCGGTAAGCGGGAAAGTGTGTATTCCCGTTGTCACGACGACTTTGAATAAAAGGAACCGCTCGGCGTCGAGCAGCGTGCGTCTCTTTAAATGAAAATCAATTCTTAACTTGCGCTGGCTAACGAGTGACAATACAATAATTCGTCGTTTTCTTTTTGAACTGGTCGGTATGATATCACTGGACAGAAATTATTGAGAAGTGATAAATTTATTATTTGTTTTGTCTATTCTGTTTCACTTAAATATACTTGAAACTGAGAAAATATTAAAATTTTGGGACAAGAGGTTATAATCACTTGCGCTGGCAACTGATTGCGGACTATAACGAGTGACCAAACTGTACACAATAATTCGTCGCTTTCTTTCTCAACTCGTCGGTATGATATCACTGGACAGAAATTATTGAGAAGTGATAAATTTATTATTTGTTTTGCCTATTCTGTTTCACTTAAATATACTTGAAACTGAGAAAATATTAAAATTTTGGGACAAGAGGTTACAACCACTTGCGCTGGCAACTAATTGCGGACCATAACGAGTGACCAAACCGTACACAATAATTCGTCGCTTTCTTTCTCAACTCGTTGGTATGATATCACTGGACAGAAATTATTGAGAAGTGATAAATTTATTATTTGTTTTGTCTATTCTGTTTCACTTGAAACTGAGAAAATATTAAAATTTTGGGACAAGAGGTTATAACCACTTGCGCTGGCAACTGATTACGGACCATTACGAGTGATCAAACCATACACAATAATTCGTCTTTCTTTTTCAACTTGTCGGTATAATATCACTGGATCGAAATTATTGAAAAGTGATAAATTTATTATTTGTTTTGTATATTTTGTTTTACTTAAAATATACTTGAAACTGAGAAATTACAATTTTGGAACAAAAAATTCTCGACGTACTCGTCATTCCAGCGCAAGAGGTTAACGAAGACCTCAGTGCGTCTGCACGCTTCGGGGCGAGCATTTATATATTTATTTATTTTTTTTTCTCAAAGAGAAGAGAAACACGACCGAAACACGTTTCGATAAACACGTCTGTTTCGATTTGCACGCTAAGGAATAAATCGTATTATATCGCGATCGGTATCGTTCGCGACACGCCAACCTGCCAGCGTTGGGATTTCTTTCTTTTTCTTTTTTACTCCTTCGAATCTGGTCCCGGTTCAGTCGTGCGTTGATTCAAGCTTCACGTCGCCATACTGTGTGCGAATTTAGCGCGACCGCGTCGTTAATCGACGGATGGAAGCTCGACAAAAGCAAGTGCTCGCTAAAAAAAGAAAAAAAAAAAAAGAAAGAAAGAAAAAAGCTAACAAGTGACAATTTTAACTCTTAGTGATTTGAAAACCTCTTGTTTCGTCGCGCGACGAGGTATCGGGAAACGGAGGGATCCATGACGATCGTGGAATGTAGGACCGAAGCGATGACAGCTTTTCGATAGCGACGTGTCCGTGAACCGAAGGTCGTGGCTGGTTTTCGTTGCCTCGCGGGAACGGAGAGCGTTAAAGCGACGATCGTAAAATTCGACAAAGGTGTCGTTGATCTTTATCGCGAATCTCGCACACGCGCCTCGACCGACGTCTGTCGATTTTTATTTATGGTTTGTCGTCTCGCATGAGACGCGTAAATAAGTTGATAAAGAAGAGACAGGAAGATCGGTGATGATAAGTCCCTAATCGAAACGATATGAATAATGGTTTTCTCATTGTACAGGATGGAAAGGAAAGTTATGAGGCTGTGTGTGGCTATCATAGATGAATTCTATACGTGTAAATAATCTATCGCAAAATTGACTTTAATCTTGAGTTTCAAATTTCAAATTTCAAACTCTTTTTTGCATTGTATTCTACTCATCACAAAGGTAAAACTTTCCAAGGAACCATAGGTCATAATCTAATAGTTGAAAAATGGCAAAAGAATTTCATGATCATTTAAGTCACTGTGTACGTGCTGACAGCGACTTTATGGTCCTTACGTTGGTATATTACGTAATGTTTATATTTTGAATAATGTTAACAGTTTTATCATTCAGATTATTTAGACTCACACTGATGCTACAGCTATGATAAATCAAATGTTAGTGAAACCTAATATGAAAATTATAATATAGACGTCCACGCGTCCAGAACCATAAAGTCGCTGTTAGAACCCGTGCATAATGTTAAATGATTATACAAGAAACGTTTTTACCATTTTACAAAAGAATTATTAGGTTGTGACCTATGGTTCTTTGAAAAAGTCTGACCATCGCTTAAAAAGAAAAAAAAAAAAAAAATTGACCTTGAAATTCAATTTTGCTGCAAGATGTAGAATTCATCTACGATAACCACGAACTTTTCTTTCCATATTGTACGTATTACGTGCGTCGTCGAATCGATTTTCTAGAATAAAACCTCCGCTGGAACTCGTGTTTTATAGTCTCCGCCATTTTTTGTTTTTCGTCGCCGAAGACACCGAGTTCCAGTCTGCAGGACGTTCCACCTTGTCGTGAAGCTCGTTAAAATCGTTGTTTACGATCACTTGTTTCAGTTTACGAGCTCTTGCGCGAACTCGGCGGCTATCTACCCCCGAAGAGCATCGCACCGGCCGACATCACGCCTCTAGTTTCCAGGCTGTTGAGGGTGAACGGCGCGCCCCTCTTCGATTTCTTCGTCGACGTGGATCTTTACGATCGATCCAGGTCGTCCGTCTTCTTGGACCTGCCTACGAAACATCAGGAAGACGCGTTCTTCGCGGAGAACCCGGTGAGTGTTGCGCCGCAGTGCTACAGACACAATTTATCACGTAAAACGACAATGTTGCTCTTTGACCCTTGTGTGTGTGTGTGTGTGTGTGTGTGTTGGACGTAGATAGTTCGTTCGTTGCCGTAAAGATCGTGAGATAAGTCTTAATTGCAGATTTCAGCGCATGGAAGCTTGCTTTCATCCGGCTTTCGTTCGGTATCTCACCAATTTCAAAACGTCCCCGCCAAAAAATTTATATATTTACAGTGGACTCTGGCGTAACGCGACTGGCACTCGTAGAGAGCGTAAGATGAATTTAACGTTTAACGTTCAAGATAAATTTGCGTACATCGCGTAAAATGAATTTAACATTTTTGACATTTTACTTTTAGAACGCGTCTTTTACGCGAGCAATTCCATTCGAACGTAATAAAGATATATCGGACATTTCGTAGCTTGCATTTCGTTCTCATTTTGTCGTACTATTCGATTCGCTGACTCTCGCAATTTCAATTCCTTGGCCATTCTCGGATCAGATTTCGATAACATTCAAAATTCTAACTTCTCCTTTCAGAGCTACACGTTTGCTTGTTTCAAGATAAAAATTTCTAGATTTGTATCGTAAAATTAAATTTGTATCGCTTGAAATCAGCAGTTGGAAAAAAAAATGTATATAAAATATATCTGTGACTCTGTGCAATTACGATATTTACGTGTATCGATTGCACGTTTTTATCCTAAACTTTATAAAAATTCCAAAGTTCCTAAAATTCCTGCATTTTCTGAAATTTCTAAAATTCCTGCTTCCAAAATTTTGGAGAAATATCTAATCTATAAATTTTTAAATTTAATTTTCCAAGAAAAATCATCTAAATTTTAAAATCTCTAAATCTCTAAGAATAATCTTTGCTCTCGCGTCTCGTCTGTTTTCTTTATCTCGGCACGCGCGGCTAAAGCATTTTTCATAATACTTAATAACGACGTACAATATTTCTTTTTAATTAAATATGTCATTTGGAGACACGTTTAAATTTGTGTAAAATAAATTCATTTCACAATGCAGACTATTTATTCTTTTTAGTAACTCGCTAAAGCACTTTTCATAATACTTAATAACAACGTACAATATTTCTTTTTAATTAAATATGTCATTCGGAGACACGTTTAAATTTGTGTAAAATAAATTCGTCTCACAATGCAGAGTATTTATTCTTTTTAGTAACTCGCGAATAGGACAGAAAAAAAAAGGACAGAGGGATCAAATTTCGGGATTCGCCACGGAATTATATTAACGCATGAGACATCTCGCATTTTATTTATATATCAATCGTGTATAGTTATAACGCAGTGACAAGTGGCATGTAGTAGTTGGAAGTTTTTTGGTAATTTGTAATGTGAATTAATTTTTAAAACCTCATTTAAAATTAAAAAGTTAATCTAAATGTAACGCGAATTTTAATTTTAAAGACCTTCTTAAAACTTTGAAAATTAAAAATTAATTTTTAATTGCTCTGTGACTATTCATATTTGAAACGTTTAAAGATGAATAGCGACGAAGCAATTAATGATATTTTGGGAATATTTACGGACGATTTGCCAGATATATCAAGATGTAATGACGTAAAGATGAATGTTTGTGAGGATGACTATGACTTTCAAAGTCTGCATGACGAACGAAAAATTACAGGGTGATATTTTACCAGGTATTGTACTTCAAAAAAGTTTCACTACGTGAAAATTTATAATTAACACGTGTATAGAATTGAAAGAAACGTGTAATTTTAAAATATTCATTGAAAATAAATATTTCACGTTAATCAGGGATCGAAACACGCTACATTTGTAAGCTTTGTGATGTTCCACTTCACTTACTTGGATGTTTTACCAAGTATCGTATTTTAAAAAGAATTCCAATACGTGAAAATTTATAATTAACACATTGCAAGGAGCTGGTAATTTTAAAATCCACTCGATGGAAATAAATATTTCACGAGGATTTTCAACCACTGACAAACCAGTGTAAATAATTTAGAAATAGCTGCCCGCTGGGTACGGTTAGCAAATAAAATGTCTGGCCCGCAATGTATTGATATCAGCATCATCGAGAATCGATATAAAATCTATCAAGACTCGACGTGGATATCTATACGCGACATTCATTACGTTACCGAAGTTCAACCAACCTACTCTCTTATCATTTCATATTTCGTTCTATCTTTGTGTGATGGTTTTTACCACCCGGTCACACAATCCACCCGTCCCGCATCTTCTCAGTTGCCGTGCAACAAACATTTTCCCCGCCCTAATCTGCTAAATCTCGCGGCTCTGGCTCCGGCGCCGGCCAGTTTATCGATTAACGGCGGAAATTAACGAGCTTGGATCCCCCGCGCGTTTGCTTCCGCTATCGGAGACTCCAGGGATGAATACTTCTCCACCGGGCTAACAGATAGCGCGATTAAGCGGAGGATAGCCTCAGTTAATTCCTCAAGCAAATGTGTGGCGAGTACCGACGCGGGCATAAATCCTTCTCGCGGTTTCGGTGGAGTCCGTAAACGCGTCGGTTTGCGCCCAGCTTGTGCCGAGTGCCACTTTCGTTCGTTACCACGTCTGCGACGGCAAGTTTGGGCCAAAAACGGAGATGAAACGCCTTCGTTGTTTCATCGAACTCGCCTTAATATCGGGCTTATCGCCGATTTGCCAGCTTAAGCCAGATTCAGTGCGCGTGACGAGTTTGAAATCGATCGAGCGGCTGCGAGCTTGCGTTTTTGCGTTGTTTCTTCTCGGCTGACCGTTGTCAGTGCCAGGAAAACGGCGTTGGATAGTGCCATGCGGCGCGACAGCGCTTCCTTGATGCAACCATGTAAAACAGAGATGGCTAACTGGCGGCCCGCTGGCCCCTTTGCCCTCACTTTCCTGATCGCTAGCGCTACCCCCTCCACTAGTAGTGGAGAGATCGACGGTGTGGAGGGGGTAGCGCTAGCGACCAGAAAAGTAGGGGCAAGAGCTCGCCAGTTAGCCATCTCTGGTGTAGAATTATCAGTAAATGAAAGTAGATAAAACAAAAACTGCTTATTTGTGCACGTGGTTTAGGTATTATAAATACCTATATTACCTATAGGTATTATAAATATCTATAGATGATATATTAGGTATTATAAATACCTATAGGTAATACATTAGGTACTATAAACACCTATAGGTAACATATTTGGTATTATAAATACCCATAGGTAAGAAATTAGGTACTATAAACATCTATAGGTAATATATTAGGTACTATAAATACTTATAGGTAACATATTATGTGCTATAAACACCTATAGGTAATATATTAGATATTATAAACACCTATAGGTAATATATTAGGTACTATAAACTCCTATAGGTAATATATTAGGTGCTATAAACACCTATAAGTAATATATTAGGTACTATAAACACCTATAGATAATATATTAGGTACTATAAACACCTACAGGTAATATATTAGGTGCTATAAACACCTATAAGTAATATATTAGGTACTATAAACACCTATAGATAATATATTAGGTATTATAAACACTTATAGGTAATATATTAGGTATTACAAATACCTATAGGTAATATATTAGGTACTATAAACACCTATAGGTAATATATTTGGTATTATAAATACCTATAGGTAATATATTAGGTATTAGAAATACCTATAGGTAATATATTAGATATCATAAACACCTATAGGTAATATTTAGGTATTATAAACACTTATAGGTAATATATTAGGTATTATAAATTTTTTTTAAAAAGAGAAAATAACTAGGAGAGGAAGCTTCGATATGACTGACGACAATATGGCGTTATAAACGCCACTGTGACACGAAATCTGAACAGCATGATCACGCTGCACGGCACTAGAACGATTAAAAACGCGACCAAAGTATTGGGTTCCAAGGAAGATGCAAGTTTCCTTCGTCCAAGTATTTTTTTTTTTTTTCTTTTTGTTTGGTAGATACTTCGTGAGAATTGGCGACTGAATGGCTGCGCTTCTACAAATTTCTACAGGTATTTATAATCTTTGTAGAGACAAATGGCAGGAGATGCGTCCTCGTGGATCTTATCATGGTTTTTGTAACTTAATTAGGCAATCTAATCTACCGTTTGTTAGTGCTCTGTTTGGGTAACCTTCGTGTTTCACGGAGAGCCTTTTGCCATCCGACAAAAGGAATTGAACTCAACTCAATTTATTCTAATAAACGGGCGAAATCTCGTTTCACGCTGAGGAAGGAACAGAGGAAAAGTATGAAGAGCTAGCGTCAAGATGAAAATGAAGGACAGTGCTACGGTACTATATTTATGATAAATAAGATGAGGATATTAATATACAGGGTGTCTCATAATTGATGGCACACTCTAGTAGGAGGTGACTTAACGCGTGAGAGAACAAAATTTTTCCATTGAGGCCTTTATTATTGAGTTTGAACATTCTACGCGTCTAGAAATAAATGATAAGTAATAGAATAAAATTTTTTCGTTTGACGCGTCATTTTCGAGAAAGTAGGCTCTAAATATGCTTTAGTGAAAATTGTATATAATTGTATAAACTTTCAAGTTTTCTCGAAAACGATTTCCTCGAAAACGAAGGCTTTAATGAAAAAGTTTTAATCCTTTCTTTCGACTCGTTTTCTCACGTAGAATGAAGATCCTACTCGCTACTTATGTATAAATATACAATGAAATATCATAATTATACAATGACAAATGATAAGATAAGTGAGATGAAGCTAGAGAAATATAGTAGTTGCAACAATAGATGAAAATAACAAAGATAAAAACATTAAATGGGGTAAAAGAATATCTCAACGTTTCAAATATTTTAATATCAATGTTTATTTATTTTTACACTCTGTACGTAATGTTACTGACAAATAATTTTCGAAAACGAAACACTTCAGCTCGATGGCCAGTTTCAGGAACAATGGAAGTTCGATCTCGCGGTACGTGTATCGAGCAGCCGCGTTTCAACACAGTGAACGTGC